ATGTTTTGAATAATTATATATAATTTAATGACTCATTCTTGGTTAAATTAAATTTGCTATAAAAGAAAAAATCCTTATGCTGATAAAGAATATATCATAATCTCTTCTGTTCTGGCTGACTTGGCCCTCCTTGTGGGCTACCAAGACCACAGAATTTATGACTTTTCCCCACTCACTGATAGCATTTCTTTGTACTACTTGTGTGTGATACTGGCAAACATAAGTGAAAGTATCCTTGAAAAAAAGAGAATATCAGAAACAACAAATTTACACTAAATAATAAAACAGAAGAGACATTTCCACTGGCTTCAAGAACAAGATTAGGAGGGTCTCAGAGATGTTCTGGTCAGGATAATACATGCAGAAAAAGAAAGAAAAGGGGACATAAATACTGGGAAGGAATAAATGAAAAATCATCATTTACAGATGATTGCACATGATATGTACCTAGACAAACCAAAGATATCACCTGAAAACTATTGGAATTAATAAGATAAATCACAAAAGTTGGCAAATACAAAATAACCATTCAATAGTAGAACATTTTCCCTTAAGTAGAAAATATCCTATCAAAAACTGTAATTAAAAAAGGAACAGCACTTCAGTCACAAAGACTACGAAGTACCTAAGAAAAACTTAAAAATAATATGAATTACTTAGCTGCAGAAATGTACAAAATTTGATTAACAAGCACAAAAATAGAATGGAGCAAAATGGAGTGTACATAACATATTCCTGGAGGGGAAGCCTCATTTCAAGATGTTAATGTTCCTCAAATTAATGTAAGATTTACTGCAAATTCAATACAAATCTCAACTCCTATTTTTCGTGATTTTTACTCAATTTTGAACTTGTTTAATAAACATAAATGCACTTACTAATACGTGCATTAAAAGAAAGTTGAAAACGGTTAACAGTAGCTGGAGGTGGGAAAGATATATATTTTATATTTTCCTATCGTTTTGAATATTTTTAACCACTAATATGTATTACTTGTATTATCAAAACAAAACAAAAAAAGATTTCTAATGTGTGCGATTATATAAGTAACACAGATCCTCTAGGTCATTGTATTGATTTTTAACGTCGAAGAGAGGGGTCACAGGCCCCTTGAGAAACGGATAAAGTCAGTTACTGCTACTGAAAAAAAAATACTTAAACACACCTACAATTGCAAACAAAATCTTGTAGGTGAGTGCAATTTCAGGTGGCCCACTGGGTTGCCAGGTGAGAACACCTACCCTGAATTAATATAATATGGTCAGTGGGGATTTTTCCTTAAGCCTAGACATACATTTGACTGAAGGGGGCACCAAGGTGGATGTACACTGGCAGCTAGTGACCCTGCAGCAAGGCGAGGCTTTTATTAGATGCCCTGGAGGTAAAGAGACCAGAGGAGAAAGATCCAGGAGGCTGCACCTCTCAGGCCAGGTGGTGGAAACACCATGAATAAGAGCAGACAGCAGGCAGGCCTGGGAATTTCCCCAGCAATCACTTCTTCAAACTTCATAGAAATCCTTAACTGCAGGGCCAGGTGAGAACAGCCATCCTTTCTATGCACCAATGGGTTGCCCCTGGGAATTTGGTGGAACGAGGGAAAGAGCCAAAGGTCACTTGTCTAGATATATTTGAGGAATGAACAACTGAGTCAGGTGCCCGAATGCAGAGTATGAGAGGCCCTGGAATATGGCAGAGGGTTGGGAGACAGGACCTTCCCCCATCCTCTTGGCAGGGAGGGTTCAACCACCTTGCGCCCTTCACACTCTTAGTCCCCATAGCCTCACAGCTCTTCCTTTTGCCTGGAGCTTAATTACTAAACTGGAACTTAATCTAGGGACAGGTGTTCAAAATTTTCATGGTTATAGCCATCAAATTACAGGAGTTTCACATAGCAGTCAGCAATGGTTTGGGAATATTAAATAAATGTGCTTCTTTAACAGAGCAAGACAGGATCATTTATTTATGCAACTTGAAAGGGAAAAAAATTGAATATTATTTGTGAAAAATAAATAAGATTGGTCAACTGAACATTTCTCTGTGGATCAATTTACAGATCATGTGGAAATATGCTTATCTTGTTGAGAAAAATGCCATTTTTAGATATTCAAATACTTTAGTATATTCTAAAAACTATTTCCTATGGGGACAATAAAATTCATGTTCTATGGTAAAAATCAATCAAAATTAATGGTGCCTTCCAATGGAAGTGGGAAATCTTTTTTTTTTTAAGAAAACTTCCCACCCTTTTTTCTTGCTGTTTTTTCACAGTGAATTCCTGTTTTATTGTATTTTCTTACTATAAAAATAAAGTGTGGCAATAGTTTTTAAAAAGTAGAAGAATATTCCAGAAGTACAGACCCCACTCCCATTCCTTGTCTCTTTTCTGACACTGTGCCTCTTACCTATACCGGAGCAGGAACCCAACTGCAAGGAAAATGATGGGGACTCGGGGCTGGGGGATTGGAGGTGGAGCGGGGGAAGAGTATACAGTAGCCCAGGAAAGGATGAGACAATACCGCAACAAAAAAGTAAAATTTTTCAATAGCCCTCCAAGATGATGCAGTCTCTCTTCGTAACCAGAGAAAGGCAAATTCTAACAGCAGGAAGAAGGGGCTACTCTTGGCCTCCAGGACAACAAAGACAAAAAAAAAATAAATGAGTGACAGGACCTGATGTGGGGGGGTGAGGTGGGAGTGAGGATAAAGGAGGGGGCTCGTACTCTTGGTGGGAGTGGAGATTAGGGCCCCGAGCTTACTGGCGATGCGGCCCTCACGTGACCAGAAGCTGACGTGGGCAAAGGTACTTAAAGCCCTGACCGCCGTCCTCCGTCCTCCTCTGGGTACCAACTGTATTTCGCTGTGCACTGCCGTGCGTTTAACCCAGGCGAGGAGGAGGAGGAGGAGAAAATTTCCCCAGATCCGGGCAGGTGGGTGTGAGGGTGGGCACCGCCTGGGACTCCTGAATAGGGGCAGCTTAGATGCGAGAGTCCTCCAAGGCCTGAATGCCTCCGCCTCGCCTGCTCCAGGCCGGCTTTCCAGACCTGGGGCGCTCAGACGCGGCTCATTTTGGTGGGCGGCGGGGAGAGGGGGAGGGGAGAACGAAAAGACTTTGATAGACTCTGCGAAGAATCTGCTTACTTCCTTTCCAGCCAGTGTTTTTTCTCCTTTTTTTTTTTTTTTTTTTTTTTTTTTGGTTTTGTTTTTTGACACTCAGGCCCCGCACCCCACATCCCGTCGTGTTTTGAGAGGAGGAGGGAAGAAAAATAAACGTGGCAGAGCATATCAAGGCCAGCGGGGAGGTTGGGAAAGGGTAACTGGAGGGGCATGCAATTTGGAAGCAATCTGGACCGTTCACTCCCGCCCTCACTTCCCCCGCACCTTCCCCTCCCCCGGCCGGCCCCCAGTCCTTTGAGGGTGCTGGAAAATGGGTGTGCCAGCCTCTATTGGAGAGATGGCGGGTCTGGCGCTGTCTGTGCTTCACAGGAGGGGGTACCCTGAGAGAATCTGGCATTAAACCGCCGTGCTAACTCCCAGACTGCTTTCCAGACACCTCCGGCCCACACAGCCGTTCACGTTCACCCCCGTCTTTTCAGTCCTGGAAAGGAGTCGGGTATGCAGGCGGCACAAATGGCGGTTTGGGGAAGATTTGGGTGGGCGGGAGGAGGCGGAATCCAGAGCAAAGAAACCGTGTAAAATCACGACCCTGAAACCGAAGAGGCAGGCGTTGAGATCCCTGTTCTGGAGGCGAATGCTAGGCCTGCGGGCTGGGGATTGAAGAATGGGTGATTTTAGGAGGGAAACACTAGATTGTTTGGCAGGAGTCCCCCGTGCCGCGTCCCATCCAGCTTTTTCTGCACCCCCGCCTGCCCCTCCCGCTTCGGTGCAGGAGAAGGGGTGTGGCAGCGTTGCCCTGAGAAATGGCGGATGGGGGCGGGGCAAAGCAGAAGGAGGGATTGAGAGCCTGGGAAGCCTGCGCAGGAGGGGAATATTGGGGTGGGAGGGGAGGAGTGAGAAGAGTTGAGGGAATTGAAAGGTAGAATCATTTGACATTCTGGTATGCAAACACTAAAAGGCAATTACTGGGACTCTTTCCCAGGGTGCTGATCCATCCACCACCAGGCTCTCAGTCTCCAACATTTGCAGTCTATATTTCTGTCCTTCAGTCTGTCCTTAGGATGAAGCTCTAACTAAGCTGAAGCTAGGAGAAACAGCCCTGAATATTTGGAGGTTAGTGTTGGGGATGGGAATTGTCTAGGGACCCCTGGCATGGCTGTAGCAGAGACCAGAGCAGAGTCTGGGACCCAATGCTTCTCCACATTGCATCTTCTCTCTTTAGAAGACACCCTTGTCCCAGGCCCTTCCTTTTTGATGCATAGAAAGAGGAGTGGGATGTGCCTTCTTAGTTAATATTTTGAGGAAGAAAGGATGGAGTGGAAAGATGAGCTCTGAGAAGGGGGAATTTTTAACCCATAGGAATTCAAATCAGGAAAGGAACTGGAGTCTGTCCACCAAAGACTCAAAAACGGCCTTTTCATGATCTATCTGCAGGTCTGTCTGCCTTTTGGGCTCTGTGCAACTGCAGTCGCAGTGGAAAAGAGCAAACTGCTTCTGATCCCAGGAGTTTGGTATGTGTGTGAGCACCCGCTAGGGACCTTGGGGTGGGGGAAGGGGTATCAAAGCAGAATCTGAAATCTCTACCACTTTTCCTGCTCTCCACCAGCATTCCCAACATGCATACTGCCTCTCATTTCCCTATTTAGGTGCTGGGAAGTTTAGGTATTGGCGTTGGCAGGGAGGGTTGGGGTTGAAAATAGAGAAAATGTTGAAGAACTACATCTCTGAATCAGCAAACGCAGGCCTTGGCAACTGTGTCTGGGTGCTAGCCTGCCTACCAAGCACTGTGTCTCCAAACTCTCCTAGGCCTGTTAGACAGCAAGTGATCCAGAGCCTTAAGCTTCATTTTTATCCTTTACTCCTAGGTCCTGCCCGGCTTGCAGCCTCGGCAGAACTTGCGAGCCTGAGCTGAAGAGCCTGGCTCGGAAGTACAGGCATCCGCTTGAGCAAGCCAGTTTCACACCCTGGATCAGAGAACCACCCTTGCTGCACCATGAGCCGCGTTCGGGATGCTGGCTGTGTAGCAGCCGGGATAGTGATTGGGGCTGGTGCCTGGTACTGTGTCTACAAATACACCAGGGGAAGAGACCAGACGAAGAAGAGAATGGCCAAGCCCAAAAACCGGGCTGTGACTGGGACTGGAGCAAGGGCAAGAGCTGGACTAAGGGCGGGATTCACAATCGACCTTAGGCCAGGAATCAGTCCCCCGACCCCAGTTCGTGCAGTGGCAGAGGACGGGGTCCAGGATGAAGTTTCTGCTGTGGACGCGGTTGGAGCTGAGGCAGTGGCCCAACCTACATCCAATCCTGAGGCCCATAGTGAAGTAGGAAGTCAGGCCCAGGAGGCAACTGGGGCTGAGGTTGGGCCTAAGGCCGAATCAGTAGTCGGGGCTACAGAGGCTTCTACAAGAGCACCACCTCCTGGGGTAGCAGAGGCTCCCGCGCCTGCAGAAGCCCCTGCAATGTCAGGGGCTCCCAAAGTAGTGGCAGAAGCCCCAAGTGCAGCGGAGGCTTGCAGGGCAGTAGTGCCTCCTGGGACAGTGGTGCCTCCTGGGACAGTGGCGCCTACTGAGGCAGCAACACCCGCAGAGGTGGCTGAGCCTCCTGAGATGGCAGTGCCTACTGAGGTGGCCGAGGTGGCCGAGGTTCCCATAGTGGTAGCACCTGCCGAGGCAGCTGAGTCTCCTGTGCCCGCAACGCCTACTGGGGCTGCAGAGACTCCTGGAACTTGCGGGTCCCCTAAAACAACAGTAGTTCCTGGAACAGCAGCCGCCAAGAAAGCAACCCCTGGAGCTCACACTGGGGCTATACCTAAGGCTGGGTCAGCGACTGGAGCTGTACCCAAAGGTGGAGCCAAGGGTGGAAACAAGTCCCGGAATGGGGGCAAGGGCAAAGGCAAGAAAAGCAAGGTTGAAGTAGATGAATTGGGAATGGGTTTTCGCCCTGGAGATGGGGCAGCCGCAGCTGCTGCAGCCTCTGCTAATGGGGGACAGGCTTTCCTGGCACAGGTCCCTGAATCTGAGGAAGGGGAGTCCGGGTGGACTGACACAGAGTCGGATTCAGACTCTGAACCCGAGACCCAGCGCAGAGGGAAAGGAAGAAGACCCGTTCAGATGCAGAAGCGCCCCTTTCCTTATGAAATTGATGAAATTCTGGGTGTCCGGGATCTCAGAAAAGTCCTTGCCTTGCTTCAGAAATCGGATGATCCTTTCATCCAACAGGTAGCCTTGCTCACCCTGAGCAACAATGCCAATTATTCATGCAATCAAGAGACAATTCGCAAATTGGGAGGCCTCCCAATTATTGCGAACATGATCAACAAAACCGATCCCCACATTAAGGAGAAAGCCTTAATGGCCATGAATAACCTGAGTGAGAATTATGAAAATCAGGACCGGCTTCAAGTATACATGAATAAAGTGATGGATGATATTATGGCCTCTAACCTGAACTCAGCAGTACAGGTAGTTGGACTAAAATTTTTAACAAACATGACGATTACTAATGACTACCAGCACCTGCTTGTAAATTCCATTGCAAACTTTTTCCGTTTGTTATCTCAGGGAGGTGGAAAAATCAAGGTTGAGATTTTGAAAATACTTTCTAATTTCGCTGAAAATCCAGATATGCTAAAAAAACTTCTCGGTACCCAAGTGCCAGCATCATTTAGTTCCCTCTATAATTCTTATGTGGAATCAGAAATTCTTATTAATGCCCTTACTCTATTTGAGATCATCTATGACAATCTCAGAGCAGAAGTGTTCAACTATAGAGAATTCAATAAAGGTTCTCTTTTTCACTTATGCACTACATCTGGAGTGTGCGTTAAGAAAATTAGAGCCTTAGCAAATCACCATGACCTCTTGGTGAAAGTGAAAGTTATAAAACTAGTGAACAAATTCTGATTGATTATGTGCTCTCAAAAGACTTGAAGACATTTCTTGGTTTTGCAGTCTGGAAGCATTAAAAATTGAAAGTTACTGTTTTCTACTTGCTCGTATAGTAAAGGGATCCTTTCAGCTGCCAGTTTTAAATAATGTATCATCCAGAGTGATGTTATCTGTAACAGTCACCAGCTTTATGCTGAATCATTTTATGAATACCAAATAAATAATCCTCTTGTACTGAAAACACGCTTGTGACTTTAATCAAGCTGCTTGAATGGGAATATTTTTACTGGTTCCTCTGAATTGACAGTGAACCTGTCCATCATGAATGGCCTACTCTTCTATTATTTGTTTTGAATTTATCCACCAGAGACTTCATTTGTGTATCATCAATAAAGTGTGTTTCAACTGACAAAAAAATTGTTCTAATGATTGAATTTAAAATCTAGCTGGAGATATAAGGTACATAAATATAAAAGGTTACTAACAGTACCCAAGCATATGCCCATTGTCAAATATATGCTATCTGGTTAAATGAAGCAGAGGTTACAGAGAAAGCTTTAAGAAGGAAGGGCACACTTAAGCTGGGCCCTGAAAGACAGCCTAGAAGGGTATTCCAGAAGGGAGAAAGGGTTTGAAGAAAAACATGGAGGTAGAAAATCTGTTCCTTTGATAAGAAGGAAGCCAGTTTGTCTGGAATGGGGGGAGTGGTGAGAAATAAAGGTGAAAATTCAGGGTGAGGAAAAAGGAAGATCCTGAACCCCAAACTGAGATACTGAAATATTACTCTGCCATATTCTGAGAGTCACTGGACATTTTTGACAAAAGGTAAAATAATCCGGTGGTAATGTAATCTGTTGCAAGATGGATTGGAGCTGGGGCAGGGTTAGGAGTGGAGACTGGAAATGAGGACATTTGTTAAAAAGAATAAGCCAACCATGAGATGATGAGAGGTGAAATGGGGTGGTGACTAAAGGAACTGTTAGGATATGATGGTAATAAGAGATTCTTACAAAGATATAACACTAAGATCTGCTGTCTGACACTTGGCTATGTGTTGACAAAGAGGGAGGATTGTATGATCTTATGCAGGTCTTGACAGGGAAGAGACCTTTTGGTTGTGGGGGACAATAGCAGGGACAGCGCAGTGACAGAGTCACGATTTGGAATGAGAAAAAAAAAACGTTAGGAGAAAGAATGACCTTTGGCTTAGACCAGTGGTTGATTTTATAGGATTAGAGGTGTAGGTCTGCCTTCTTTTAAAAGAGGAATAATGGTGAGGCCTTCATGCGAGCCTCACTCCTACCTCTGAGTTCACTTAAGAGCAGGTGTACCTTCCTTCCTCCCTTCTCTGGTCCACTAAAGCAATAAAAAAAGAAAATGGAAGGGGTCCCAGAGATTTTTTCAAATTCAGCCTGCTTTTCTGACACACTTCACAAGTGTACACAGGCTATGGCAGGGATCGAAAGAGAGACTCCAGGGAGGGGGCATATGGAAAAAGAATAGATTGGTATTATATATTGGTACAATTTATCTGAAGAACAATTTGGTAATAGTCATAATACGCTTTAAAGATCTACCTGCCCTTTGGCCTAGTAGTCCACTTATAGGTTTTTTCTTTCCCCCTAAGGAAAAAATCAAATAATTGTATACAAAGAAATATACCAAGCTATTTATCTCAACACTGTTTATAAGAGAGAAAAACTAGAAGCAACTTAAATATCCAACACAATGGAATTGGCTAAAATACATAGCATGTACATGAGGTAAAATACTATACAACTATTAAAAACTAAGACCTTTATTGTACATGATGACAACTATGGTTAATTATAGCATATTGCATACTTGAAAATTGCTAAAAGAGTAGACTTTAAATGTTCTAATCACAAAAAATATAACTATATGAGATTGAATATGCAAATTAGCTTTATGTTCCCACTCCACGATGTATGCATATACTGAAACATCATGTTGTACCCCATAAATATATATAATTATTGTCTACTAAAAAAACTGTGATGTACTTCTATATAAGCATGAAAAGACATTCAAAAAGGGTGAAATTTTTTCCACATGTTTATTATGTACATCTCTGTGCATTTTTTATGTAGAATTGGACTCAATCAGAGACCTCTTGAAGAATGAGCTTAGAAATTGGACTTGTCTGATTCTAAATTGTAATATCAATTGAATTCACCATTTTGCCAGGTTTTCTTAGTTAAACTGGGAACACTGATAACCAAAATAGGTAGTCTGAAAAATCCTGAGCCTCTTTAGACTTTTTGAAAATAGTTCCCACTGTGCCCTGCTTATAAAGAAAATTGTAATTTGTTTCATATGCCTCTACTGAGATTCATATTTTGAAATATGAAAATATCTTAGGTCTGAACATGATATTGCAATATTAGAACAACAAAGAGAATTATAGACTTTGAGTGTGCTTGACTAAGAATATGTTTAGATCAGTTCAAATTAATTGCAGTTGGAAATCTCATCTATTTTTAATATATGGATAATATATTGATTAGCACTAGACTTTAGTTGGATATGAAGGGTAAAATGTCGAGTGACCACTAAAATAATATAGTGTATAATATGTAAAGGAAAAAATGCACCGAGAAAAAATATTTTTAATCTAAAAAGGTGAGAAATGAATTAGAGTCTATAATACTGAGTGGTCTATCACAGAAACAAAGAACTGAGTATCACATCTTATCACTCATAAGTGGACCTTGAACAATTGTTGTAATACTATAAGAAAAGGATTGGCGGCAGCAGGAAACTGCCGGGGGAGGGAGGAGTGAGGAAGGCAGGATTGGCAGTAGTGGGAATCTGCCGGGGGTGGAGGGAGGCACACCTCATCAACAAGGATACCTGCATAATGAACATATGTATACCTAACTGTAAACTGTACCCCACATCTTTAAAATAAAATGAAATAAATTTTAAAGGAGAGAAATGAGATAGGTGAAACCTCATAAAAGCAAAACAAGTAGTGCACAGTTCAAATGTATTAGTAATAACAGTAAGCAAAAATGGATAAACTTACTAGTTAAAAGGTATCATCAGATTTTTAAATTCCAGCTATATGCTAAAGAATAAGCATGCAAAAAATGTGAAATCACAAGGATAGAAAAAGTTATACCATACAAGCAACTAGCCAAAAGGAAGTTGGCATGGCATAGTCAAAGAAATATGAGATTAAATAGATTTTAAGACAAAAGGCATTATTTTACTATTATAATTTGGTTTTTGAGTCAGAGGAGTCTCACTCGGTTGCCCAGGCTGGAGTGCAGTGGCATGCTCATGGCCGCTGCAGCCTCAAACTGCTGGGCTCAGGCGATCCTTCCATCTCAGCCTTCCAAGTAGCTGGGACAACAGGCATGCACCACCACACCCGGCTAATTTTTTCATTTATTGTAGAGATGCTGTCTTGCCAAGTTGTCCAGGCTGATCTCGAACCTGTGGGCTCAGGCAATCCTCTCACCTTGGCCTCCCAAAGTGCTGGGATCATAGATGCGAGCCACCACGACCGACCAACAAAATGCATTATTAAAGATAAAGAATACATAAATGGTTAAACACACAGTGTTCCGTTCATACCATGGAATACTACTTGGCAATACAAAGGAATGAACTATTGATACACAAAACAACTTGGATGGATCTCAAAGGGATTATATTGACTGATCCAAGAAATCTAAAAATGTCACAAATGATATGATTTCATTTTAGCTTTACTTTTTTTAAAGCAGGATTTAGTAAGAGGACAGAAAAGCTCCCACAGTGGGAGGGGACCCGAAAGGGTTTCCCAGCTTTACTTTTTTAGCAATATATAATAATTATACATATATTGGGGGTACATATGATATTTTGATACATGTGCAATGACCAAATCAGGATATTTAGGGTATCCATCACCTCAAACACTTATTGTCTCATGTTGAGAACATTTCAAATCTTCTCTTCTAGCTATTCTGAAGTATATATTATATTATTATTAACTATAATCACTCTGTTGTGCTATCAAATACTAGAACATAATCCTTCTAACTGTATTTTTGTACTCATTAACCAACCTCACTCTCTCCTTCCCAGCCTTTGATAACTATCATTCTACTCTCTACCTCCATGAGGTTCACTTTTTTAACTCCCATGTATAAGTGAGAACACGTGATACTTGTCTTTCTCTGCTTGGATTATTTCACGTAACATAATGACCTCCATTTCCATTCATATTACTGCAAATAACAGAATTTCTCATTTTTTGTGGCCAAATAACATCCCATTGTGTATGTATACCACATTTTCTATATCCATTTATCCGTTGATGGATAGGTTGATTCCATATCTTGGCTATTGTAAATAGTGCTGCAATAAACATGGGAGTGCAGGTATCCTATTGATACGCTGATTTCCTTCCCTTTGAATAAATACTCAATAGTGGAATTGTTGGATCATGTGGTAGTTATAGTTTTAGTTTTCTGAGAAACTTTATAGTTTTTTTTTATAATGGCTGTACTACAATGATATATGAGTTCCCTTTTCTGTCATCACCAGCATTTATTTTTTGCCTTTTTGATAAAGGCCATAGCCATATTAACTGATATTTCATTGTGGTTTTGACTCTCATTTCCCCTGATGATTAGTGATGTTAAGCTTTTTAAAAATATACCTGTTGGCTATGTGTATGTCTTCTTTTTTTTTTTTTTTTTTTGAGTTGGAGTCTCACTCTGTCGCCCAGACTGGAGTGCAGTGGCCGCTCCCGGCCACCGCAGCCTCGACATGCTGGGCTCCGGCGATCCTTCCGCCTCAGCCTTCCAAGTAGCCGGAATTACAGGCGCGCTACTACGCCCGGCTAATTTTTTGATTTATTGTAGAGATGAGGTCTCGCTGCCCAGGCGGGTCTCGAACCCGCGGGCTTAGGCAATCCACTCACCTTAGCCTCCCAAAGGTGTGGGATTACAGGCTGAGCCACCAAGCCCGGCTATGTCTTCTTTTCAGAAATGTCTGTTTAGATTTTTTATGGCCAAGCTCATGATTCGTTATTGAAAATGGTCTACATATGCTTAAGAAGAAAGTTTATTCCCACTTTTAATGGGATTATGTTTTCTTGCTGTTGAGTTGTTTGAGTTCCTTGTATAACATTCTTAAAATGAAAAAAATTATAGAGATATAGAAGAACAGATTTGTGCTTGCCAGGGGTTAGGGATGGTGGAGTGGGTAGTGTGTATTAGCTAGAAAGGGGCAGCAAAAAGATCTTTGTGGTGATGGGATAGTTCTATACCTTGATTGTAGTGGTGTGATAAAATAGTATAGAACTAGATGCCATATGTTATACCAATGTCAATTTCCTAATTTTGAAATTGTACTATAGTCATGTAAGATGTAACAACTGGAAGAAATTGTGTGAAGAA